ACATCGTATTCATATTTGTCTCCCACTTTCCTCCACTCAATTCAAGATCAGTGTATGTGTTACGTGCATACATCTGTATTTTTTAATTTTTTTATACTTTATCAAGACTAATATTTTATCAAAAACTTCTAATACACACAGATTAGTTTTGGTTTAGTATTAATTCCACATTTCTAATCTGTTGTTAAGGGATCTTCTATATATCAACTGTAATATCTGCACGAAAGATGGACCAAGATTTTTGCTCTTACTTATTGAATAATATGTAAAGAAAAATACATTCAAATTTTTGAAAAAGAAAGTCCAACCCCATAAAACCTACCGCATACTTCTTTTCAAAAGCATGATTATAGGTAGTAAATATGATTGGAATAATATATGAATTTTATAATATTAATTGTATTGTGATTGATGAATAGAGAGAAAAAAAGGAGAGAAATAGAGAAAAATGTTATATTTACCCAGTAAATATGAGTAATATAGATTTTATATTTAGAAACCCAAAAATGGTTTGGATAAATCTAAGAATTTATAATATTAAAAATCTCTTATATTTATTTTTATTTAAAATGTTCTTATACGTGCTTAAAACAAAAAGCTAGCAAAAGCTAATTCGAGTTTATATTGGAGAAGAAGAAAAAAATTAGAAGAAGACAAATTTTGAACCCGTCGATATTCTTCTCGACAACCCGCTTTGAAACCTGTCTTCTTAGGTCTCATTTTTTCCATAATTATCATTAAAAACATACTTATACATATTGTTTTTTTTTTTTCTATTCTAAGTTACATAATTCTCGTCAAAAAATCAATTAGAGCAAATAATCTTTTTTATTAAAAAAAAGAAGAGAATCTTCCTCCATGAAACATCACCACAAGTGACCAGACCCGATCGACGAAGAAAGAAGTTGCTAATTTCAAACCATGCGAACCTAATCTTGTTGAAATTAATGTATCCAATCTTCAAAATATATTGGGTCAAATAATAGTAACACTTTTTCATAATAAAAGAAAATACTTTTTTTTTTTTCTAGAAGAAAACACTCGGACTATATATAACCGTCCTTGCTGGAAAAAAATCCTTCATTAAATTTTGGTCGGTCAATTACAATCTATAGATCGTTCACATATGTTATAAAACCGTACCTTATCATTAAATTCATTCACATTTGATAATATCACACACATGGCGCCAATTGCAATGGATCGTCTCTGTTTCGTATTACCGGCGGAATCCGGCGAGTTTAAACCGTCTCCGGCGATGGTT